GCTCCCGGTATGGCAAGAGACCACTAGTACCCACCGCGCCCAGCTGCAAGACGAACCACGCCTGCTCGTGCGCCAGGACTGCCGGCAGCACCACAGTGCGCTTCCAGTGCTTGACGGCCCGTTTGCGGGCCTCGGGGTCCGCGCGAGCCTCCTCGGACAGCGCGCCGGCCGGAAAGTCAACGGTAATGCCCAATGCACGGGACACCTCGGCGGCGTGGCCCAGCCAAGTAGCACCCGTCGTGGCCCGCGTACCCGCCACCACCTGGGCCACGGGACTCCCATGTGGCAGCGCAAGCAGCCGCGCCCGACCGAGGGCGATCCGCTGCATCAGGGTCGCCCCCCACCGCGTCAGCATCCGCGTCTCCGCCAGCGCGCGAACATGCCCACCTGTGCCTAGGAAAACCCCTGGCCCCCCACCGAGCAGCATCTTGGCGACCTCGTACTGCGCATGGTTCACCCGCGTCACCGCGGCCTGCCATCCCGACGCGAAGCTGGCCAGCAACTCCGCGCCGTAGAACGCCTTGGCCACGACTCGCGCTGGAAGTTGCGCCACCTGGTAGGGTAGGCCGAAACCTCGCTGCGCGAGGGCGGCCGCGAGCTTGCGCGCCCCGTCGCGTAGCCGCGAGCACACGCGCCCGAGCAGGGCGTGGAACCCGAGGTCCTGCTCCACGGGGACGCCCAACATGTCGAGGACTTGGGCAACCTCGGGCGGCACCCCGCACACAGTGCCGAAGTTGTCCGACTCAGGCCCACCCCCCACGGCCAGCACCATGGGGCGTTTGCGGCCGCCTTGGAAGCGGTGGCGCCACGTCAAACAGAACTCCGTCAGTGCCCGGTTTACGGCGGCCAGCCCCGCGGCCGACGACTGGAACACGAACGAGTCGTCCACGAACTGGAGGATCAGGAGCGCGTGAGCGGCCACGGCATCGAGGAAGGCGCACCTGTCCGCGACGGTACCTAGCGCCTGGAGGCGCTGGTGCCAGTCCGGCACCCCCGGCCGCACCGATACCAACAACTCCTCTGCACGGACAGCCCCCCAAGCTATTTCCGTGCCAGGCGCAAGAGTTGCGGCCTGATGGCATTCGTGGAACGCGCGCGCCGCCGCCGCCGCCGGGGCGACACCAACGCCCGAGGCCACGGTGGAGCAAGCATCCAACAACGCCCGCACCAGCGCGCCAAACATGTGCACCCCCGCCCGGCGGCCTTGCCCGACGCCGAACTCGGTAAGGACAGCCGCCGCCCCTGCAATCCCGCCGATGCGGACCCGGATCGTTTCGGATCCCAGGGCTGCGTCAGCAACCAGCCAAAGGTGCCCCCCCAAACCGGCGCGTCGCAAGTGAACTCGTACAGCATCCCGCCAGGCGAGGTCGTAGCCGTGTTCCAGGTCGGCCTTCTCCACGAGGGTGGACAAGCCGTGCGCCCTGCGTATCTGTAGCGCCATGACCATGCCGATCACCATCAGGACGGCGTCATACTTACCTCCCGCCTGGGGGGGCGCCCGCATACGCCTCCAGCTGGCCGCGGGCCGCCCGAAGCCACACGGCGTCGAACGTCCCGCATAGCTCGTCCACGTAGCTGACGGGGCGCAGGTGGGCGACGTCAGACACTACCACGGGCCCCCGCTTCCGGATGGGCGCCACCTCGCGCCACCATCCACTTGGCATAGGGCCCGAGACCGCCACCAAGCATACCAATGCCCAGGTGACGAGCCTCCCGCCCCAGAGTTCGGTGAGGACGGCCGCGCGCGGGAGGTGCAGGGAACGCCGGTTCCCCTTCATCTCCCTGAGGACCGCGTTGACGTCATCCAGGGAGAACGGGTCGCCCGTGCCCAACTCTGCCGCCTCCGCCTGCGATTCCCGGCGTGCCTGGCGGACCTCATCGGCCACGGCGCGGTTGAAGGCTGCGTCGCCAGACCCGGCCTGCGCTCCGCGTGACAACACATCCTCGGTGATGACCTCCAGAGCGTCGGCCAGCCCTAATAACTCACCGGACACCGGGCACCGCAAGGCCAACTGTACCGGCAGACGGGGTTCCAATGCGCGACTCAGGAAGGCTTCCGCCTCGCCGGGCGACGCCGCTGCGAGTTCGAGGTACCTGTCAAGAGCTCTGGTGGCGGCTTTCCGGGCGGGCGGGTCCGCATCGCCCGCAGCCGCCGCGGCCCACGCCGCCCGCAGCTCCCCTGGCCCCACACCCTCGTCGTCGTCGTCGCGGTCCGCACCGGCAGCGCCTACTCCCCGCGGCTGGCCGCGTGGGCCGTGCGCAACCGACATACCCGCAAAATGGCCAGCTAGGGTGTAGACAACAGCCCTCCACCAAACCACCCGGTCGAGCAGGCCCTGCCGCGTGCCCCGGCAGCGCCCTTCGACTACCCAGCGACGGACGACAGCTGACCGCATGGCCGCACCCGCCCAGCCCACCAAAAATCGTAACGCGAGTGGTACCAACAGTAAAGCCTCCCCCCAGTCGGCGCCACGCCCCCACCTCGCGAAGCCCACTGCCGACTCCCCCGTGCAGTCCACCACGCCAGCGACCGAAACATCAAGGCGGCGATGGTCGCTGCGCAGTCCCGCGTCCGCGGGCGCCACCACCTTGACCTCAGTCACCAATTCCGGCGACGAGGCTACCACGTCGATGATGGAACCTGACGCATGCGTCGGGCACCCAACAGGGTTGCGGACCACGGACCCGAAATGGCAAGCGTCGTGCAACCACTGCCACACGTCGCGATCCAAGCTCTCCTCCAGGCGCCCGTTGATACCGCCCAACGCCGAGAAGTGCAAGTTGAAGTCGCCCGCCAACAAGAACGACCAGCCGAGAAAGCACGGGCGGGCGCGGAGCTGGCGCCACTCGCCCACTCGAATCTTCCAGAAGGTTCGGCGGGCCCCAACGCCGCAATTGGGGGGCGGCCCATAAACTCCCAAGAGTAACACCCCAGTGCGGGCCGAACCTCCCATGGATACGGCAGCCCAAACGGCCCGTGCATCCCCAACCCCCTCCAAGACTTCCACACGACTACCGATCTCGTCCAGGACTAGTAGCGCGACCGTGTCCGGGAGTGCACTGCGTTCACCGTGGTACGCATACCCAGCCCAGCGGGGCCAAAGGCTGCCGGGGGCTAGCCTCGGCTCGGAGAGGACTGCGAGGACCACTCCTCTGCTGTGGAGTGCCACGACAAGATCGCGAATCCTGCCCTCATGAGCTCCCTCGCCGCGTCTGGACCCCAGCCCGCCCTGCACGTTAAAGGCGGACACCAGTAAGTTCATGGCGCGCGCAGGCACAGCTGCATCCTGCACCAGCTCGTGGGCCGGCAACCCCCCCTCCCAAGCACCGCACACAGAATTGATGGGAACGTCCCTCGCCTGCCAAGCCATCCGGGCCTCCACTCGAAGGCGTGCTTCACGCGCCCCCGCATCAAATATCCGGAAGGCTTCCAATTCTGGGGGTGCGCCAGAGAGGCCGTGCGGGGGTTGCGCTCCGAGGAGGGCTCGCGCGTCCCGCCTACAGCAGATCGCTCTCCAAGCTCCAGCACGGCCGCTGCCGTCTGGGAACACCCTCTCGGCCAGCTCTCGGATTTCAGCTGACGCGCGACCTGCCTCCACACGGGTTGCCCAACTACACAGCGTGGCCGCATCAGGGGGTCTCGCCCCGCCGCCTGCATCCCACGCGCCCGCCATGGCGCGCGCCGCGGGAGGGGCGCCCCCCCACGAGCCATCGGGCGAGCGGGTAGGGGGGGAACAGGAAGCAGGCGAGCCAGGGAAAGGGCCCTGGAAAGCACTGGCGGGGCGCGGCTGATGAGATGTTCAAGAATACGTCTGCACACCACGGCGCGGATGACGAAGGTGCCCGGCAAACCATCAATAAGCCCTGACTGGGAAACCTGAAATGGAAAACGGGCGATCCCCGTGGGGGGGATGGAGCGGCCCTCCGGTGCGGATAGGCTGGTACATTCAAATTAGGGGGCGCGGCCCGCCGACCACTCCATCTGCGATTCCCCACTGGCCAGGGCATGAGTCCGCAACCATGCGACCCTGAGGGGGCTCGCAAACAAGACCTGGCAGAGCGGCAACACTGGATTCGGGAAACGCGGGCTTCCAGACCGTTACGCCTCAGGGGTGACACCACGCACACCCCCCGCACACCCCTCCGCGAGGAGGGGGGGAGGGGAGCAGGGAAGGGGACCCGGGGAGGAGGAGGGGGGGGGAGCGGGAGGGGGGAGCTGGGGGCCAGCGGCACGTATGTCAATGTCCCAAGTAAACCATGCATGTCAACCGTGGCGCCTGCTGCCGACGACGAGCCCCAAATGTACACAGTTTCGACTCCAATTAAGGGTGCCGGGTCTGACCATCGAGGGACAGACTGTCACCCCCTGTGCGAGCCGCGGAAGGGCGCCAGAACTGACCAAGGAGGGACCTGCGAACGTGGCCGAAACACGGGGGGCAAAACGCGCCCCCCACGAGGGACAACCAAGGGCAGCCCCGGAACGCTCTCGGCGAGGCGGGCCGTGGCCCCGAACACGGAGGAGCCGCGTTCGCAGTGAAACCCGACAAACAATCCCCCCGACAGCTGCACTTCGCCGTGGTTGCCAGCTGAAGCCCTGACGCGGGGCTGGGTGGGCTTCGCCGCGGCGCATCCTGGGGCTCACGCCGTCTGACGACTCCTGAGGCGGGGTCCCTGAAATAATAGGGAACCCGGAAAAGGGAGAGGCAGGGAGGCGGGGGGAGGAGGAGAAAGGGGGCGGCGACGAGGAGGAGGAGGAGGAGGGGGAGGAGGAGGGGAGGACGAGGAGGAGGAAGGGGGGGGTGGGGCGCACTCTTTTTGAGGACCGCGGCGCGCACCCGCCCAGTCGACCCTGGCGGGCCGCCGTGGCGCCTGGCGGCCCCCAGCTGCCGTGTAAAGGATAAATGCTAATAGGAGTCTTCGAATTCACGCCTCACCCGCAGTCCCACGCCCAGGCGGCCAACCGCCATTCGAAGCGCCCATCCGGTCGGCGGCGCGGCGCCCTACCACGCGGCGCCCGGTGCCGCGGCGGCCTGCAGGCATTGCATGACTGACGTCGGGGCCGCGTTCTGCTGGCCGGCGGTCACGCCCGCCACCGGGCCGAAGGCCCCCACCCACTGGACGAGGAAGTCCAAGAAGTTTTGCTTGACCCCCACTGCCACCACGGTACGCGAGGCTGCATTGCACTGGATCGACACCCCCGAGGGCCTGCCGTAAGACGGGCGCGCGGGCACCCGGAGGCGGTGCACGTTCGTGCGAGCGTCACCGCCCTTCTCCGCCCACCAGGACATCGTGCCTGGGGGCTTCTTCCACACCCGGTTCTCCGCCTCCACCAAGACCTGCACTGGGACCTGCGGCCCCGCTGCCCCATGAAATGCTTGAATGCGCCGCGCCACGTCCATGGGGTCCGCCCCAGGCCGCTCGAACGACACGTGAAGCTGCGGAGCGCCACCTGATCCCCCCCCCCTGGCACTGTGCAGGAGGTCAGGCGCCGCCGGAAGTCCTCCACCGCGGTGGTCAAGGCGGCCGCGTCCTGTTGAATTGGGGTGTCGGCGCTGCCGCCCCTGGACCCGCTGGCGGTGGCCCTGCGGGCTGGGCACCCGCCTGGGCCCTCGCCGTCGCCTGTTCGACTACCTTGAGGACCTCCTCCACCGCCGCCGCCGGTGACATGCCTACGTGGTCAATCGCGTCGGCCACATTGCGGAGGCCGGACACCAGGTTCGCCACCACGTCCTCCTCCTCCTCCTCGGCTTTCGTCGCTGCCTGCACCTGCGCCCAGCCGCGGCCGCACGCCCCGCATGCCGCGAGGTCTAGACCGCAAGCACACCGGAAGGCACCGGGCGCTGCGGCCATCGCCGCCCCCGGCCCGCCCGCGGCCCCAGGGAGGCTCTTCCCCGGCCCGCCCGGCCAAGCCACCGCTGCCGCGGCCGCGGCCGGCGGGTCCTGCACGGCCCCGCGCGGCCCCTCCCACGACGCAGGAGGCATAGCCCGTGCGTCCATGCTACCCGCGTCCTTCGCTGGGTTGGGCGGCACGCCCGCGGCGTGCGGCCGGGGCTGCGGTGGCACGAACGGCACGGTTGGGCCCGCGGGCACACTGGCGTACGGTACCCCCCCCGGAACTGGAGCGGCTGGCGCGGGCGCTTTCGGCGGCCCGCTGAACGGCGGCGGTGCGCCAGCGGGGGAAGCAAGGGCGAGTGCCAAGGCCATCTCCCTCGCGCCCTTCTCCGCAATCGCTGCCGCCGCGTCGCGTGGCGGCGGCGCGAACGGCGCACCGCCAACGCTGACGTCGCGCGGCGGGGCGAGCCCCTGCAAGGGGGCTGGCGAGTGGAGCGGCTGCGGGCGTAGCTGCGGCGGCGCGCCCAAGACCACGCCATTCTCGTCCTTCGTCGGGCGGGGCGTCACGCCCGCAGCGAGCGGCTGGGGCTGCGGCACGAACGGCACGGTTAGGCCCGCGGGCACCCCGGCGTTCGGTACCCCCCCAGGAGCAGCAGGCGAAGGCGCTTTCAGAGGCCCCCCTGAGAGGCGGCGGTGGGTGCACGGCCGCGGGCGCCACCGACAACCCCGCCCGGGCGAGCCACATACCAACCTCCCACGGGAGCACACCGTGGTTGGGCGACAGGCCTGCGGCCGCCAGACGCTCGAACGGGGACACCTCCGTGCGGGGTGCCGTCGGCGGCGCCGACTTCGCCCGCGTGCTGATGCCCCGGTTGTTGTCGCGCTGGTAGGTCGTGCTGGCGCGGTGCACGCCGCCCGCCGCCCGGGGCGGGGAGCGAGGAGTCCGATCCCGAGACCGGGAGCGCTCGCCACGGCGGGCGCGCCTGCCCCCGCGCGGCCCTGGCTGTCGCGGGATGGATTGGCTGCGGCTGCGGCTCGCCATCAGCGGGAGGTTCCTTAGGCCAAGATCCCCTTCACTCCCAAAGAATCTTGAGCCTTAACGGCGAAGGTGCGGATGCAGTTCGGACCCAGAGGTCACGGCGATAGGGGTGACTGCGAGCAGCGGCTCTGACCCGGGGGTCTCAGCCTGGCGGGGGCGGGGGGAGGCGGCGCTGACCCGGAGGTCGGTCTCGGCCAGGCAAGGGGGGGGAAGCAGAGGCGGCTCAAACCCGGGGGTCTCGGCCTGGCGGGGGTGGAGAGGGCGGATGCGGCTCTGACCCGGAGGCCTCGGCCTGGCAAGGGGAGGGCAGAGGCGGCCCTGACCCGGAGGTCTCGGCCTGGCGAGGGGGGGGGGGCGGAGGCGGCTGTGACCCGGAGGTCTCGGCCTAGCAGAGGGTGGCGGAGGCGGCTCTGACCCGGAGGTCTCGGCCTTGCGAGGGGGGGGGGCGGAGGCGGCTCTGACCCGGAGGCCTCGGCCTGGCGGTCCCGGAGGCGGCTTCGGAGCGCCTCCGGGTCACCCGGAGGTGGGTCTGGAACGTCTCCGGGTCACCCGGAGGCGGCTGCGGGAGCGCCTCCGGGTGACCCGGGAGACGGCCTCGGAGCGCCTCCGGGTCACCGAGGCGGCTTCGCCTAGGAGCCCTCCGGGACTCCGGGTCACCCGGAGGAGGTTCGGAGCGCCTGAGGTCACCCAGAGGTGGGGTCGGGACGTCTCCGGTCACCCGGAGGCGGCTGGGAGCGCCTCCGGGTGTACCGGAGACGGCCGCGAGCGTTTTGCGGAGGCGGCCGGACCCGAGGTCTCGGCGGGCGATGGGGGGGGGGGGGGGGGGGGGGCCGAGGCGGCTCTGACCCGGAGGTCTCGGCCTAGCAGAGGGTGGCGGAGGCGGCTCTGACCCGGAGGTCTCGGCCTGGCGAGGGGGGGGGGCGGAGGAGGAAGGAGCAGGAGGAGCAGGAGGAGCAGGAGGAGCAGAGGCCTCCTGGGGGGCCTCCCAGAGGCCTACTGGGGCGCCCCCAGCAGGCCTCCTGGGAGGTCCTCGGTGGCCTCTCAGAGACCGCCGGCGGCGCCTCTCAAAGGCCTCCCTGGGGGGGCTTCGCAAAGGCCTCCCGGAGCGCCTGTGAGAAGTCTCCCAGGGCGCCTTTCCAGAGGCGCTGCCTGCGGCGCCCCGGCCTCTGAGGAGCGGCCCAGGAGGCCTCTGAGAGTGAGACGCGCTCCTCAAGTTGCGAGAACCCGCTCGAACAGGGCCGCCCCATGCAGCATCTCCTGGTCGAGCTTCATCCTGGCCAGGTTTGCGTACTCGTGCTGTGCCTTTTCGGAGGTGCTGGAAGGGGTCCGAAGAGGGCGCCTGCGCACTCAGCCTCTCCTGCTCGAAAATATTCTTGTTGGCCATCCTTCCCGCCTGCGTAAACGCTCCCCGGTTGCAGTCCCGCTCCTGCATGCGGTGCTGAAGGGGCATGCGCTTCGCCCTCGGCTTCACGGGGCGCACCATCACCTCCACGCCGACCGAGAACCGTCCCTCCTCCGAGGCCGCGCCCTCCCTGCAGGTGTCCGCCGTGTCCTTGATCCAACAGGATGAAGGAGAGGAGGAGGAGGAGGGGGAGGAGGAGGAGGAGGAGGAGGAGGAGGAAGAGGAGGAGGAGGAGGAGGAGAAGCAGAAGGAGGAGGAGGAAAGCAGCTGAGTCCGGGAGGAAATAAAAGCTTTAACTCCCGAGTTAATCCGCGGGAAAGCCAGCGCGGCGATACTTCCCGGGAAGAATTAACTCAGGAGTGTCCTTGATCCAATAGGATGAGAAGGACTTCCCCTTCGTAGGTCCCCTCGAAGTTCGCCATCGCGGAACCGACGCCCCCGCGGCGGAGATCCGTCGAGGCCTCCGGCACGACCACCAGGCTGCCGCAGCGCGGGCTGAATCGCGCCCACCTCAACCCCCTTGCGCGGATGGGCTAGGAGGAGGAGGAGGAGGAGGAAGAGAAGGGGGAGGCGGAGGAGGAGGAGGAGGGGGAGGAGGAGAGGAGGGGGAGGCGGCAGGAGGAGGAGGAGAAGGAGGAGAACGAGGAGGGGGAGGAGGAGGAGGAGGAGACGAACAAGGAGGAGGAGGAGGAGGAGAACGAGGAGGGGGAGGAGGAGGAAGAGGAGAACAAGGAGGAGGTGGAGGAGGAGGAGGAGGGGCAGAAGGCGGAGGAGGAGAACGGGCCGGAGGCGAGCGAACCGACAGGCCCCGGCCTTAACCACCCCCGCGGCCCGCGCCGCGGGCGCCGCCGCCCCCGCTTCCTCGGCCGTGCTCCGGGCGGGTCCTGCGGCGCCCGCCGCGCTGCTTCGCGGAGCGTCGTCGTCGTCGTCGTCGTCCGCGTCGGCGTCGTCGTCGTCGCCGTCATCGTCGTCGTCGTCGTCGTCGTCAACGTCGTCGTCGTCGTCGCCACCGCCGCCGTCGTCGTCGTCGTCGTCGTCGTGGTCGCCACCGCCGCCGTCGTCGTTGTCGTCGTCGTCGTCCGCGTCGTCGTCGCCGTCGTCGTCG